CACTGTATCTTTTGAATTAATTGATAAAAATATATAAAAATAGTATCAATCGATAGTTTACATTATAAAGATGACGAATTTAACATAATATGAATTTCGACACATGTGATCATAACACTTTATTCTTCCAATGGGACGAAATGTTTCTATTGATGACTGGACTTATTTAATTGACGTAGACACTTGGAATGCGAGGTGGAAATTCAGGTTAAATCGTTTTAGCTCGAGTACATTTTTATTCATGAGGCTAAACTTGCCAACTCATTCTTTCCATAGAAAAAATAATTAAAATTGCCCATAATTATTCATATCTAAATTACATTCCATCTAATAATAGCAATTTAATAGTTTATTTTCGTACAGACCAGTCTTTTATATCTATTCTATAGATACTATTCGGAGTCGCGGAGAACCTAACGAGTTACCGGGGCTCCGACTCGACGTACAGGAGAAGGAACGGGGTGGTTTTTAGTCAATAAGAGTCTGACGCTTCACCCAGGCGGGAGGAGTCAATCGATGATTTTCCCCCATTAAAAAAAATCTATAGGTACAGGGTGGCAGTTGACATTCAAGCATTTAAATGCTTTATGACGAGGACCATCCAAATCACTCCCATGTATGTTCTACAATTATAAATGCGATAATATACATATAGGTGGATAATATAGGTGGAAATACTCAGTCAAATCAAAACCGCTAAAAGGGACCGGGATGAACTTTCGAACAGAGGTGGATTAGGGTGACTGCCTCGATGGCCGAGTGGTCGCAAGTGCGACTGCCGGGGCAATAGGTGTCGGGTTCGATTCACGGGTCGGACCAAGTATTACCTATTGGGTTTTTTTTAAATCTCAGTAGTAGCACGGAGTCTGGAAATGTGCCCGGTATATGGCAATAGGCTCACCCCCTATTACATGGGACTCGTAACATAAATAGTGAAAAGTGGGTGTGTCTTCTGTGTGCACCTCTGCCTACCACTTCGGGGATAAAAAGCGTGATGGTGTGTTATGTTATGTTATGTAGATTAGGGTCTGATGTAATACATAAGCTACTTTTTACCCCTGGGTACGTGAATGTAACCGCTGGTAGAAGCTATAGTATCGAAATAAAACCTAGACTTTTTTGTCATTATTATTTGAAAATATATAGACACTTACATAACACCACAAATGTAGTTCCCCGTAAGATTACGCAGATATGAAGCTATTTATAGTTCGATGCTAGATACATCCAGTTTTTACCAGTTACAAGCTAAACAATAGGTACCTATATATTTTTTGTATATCAATTGAACAACAACACATAACTATCTAGTTCTTAAGGCTCTCTAGGTAACAGGCATCTATTCAATATTAATCAATTTCGTAACATGACATGAAATGTAAAATATAAAAATAAGTATGGGAGAGCCATGCTTCGGCACGAATAGGCCGGCCTGATACCAGGAGGCTTTATAGAAAACCGAAGTGAAAAAATCACTAGCATTGTGTTTCGTCGTGTGAGTGAGGTTACCGGAGACCTAATCTCCCTATACCTCAATCTCCCCAATCCCAAACTCTGTGTGTAACGCCTCTTGTGTTTCGGGTGTCCATGGGCGGCGCCAATTGCTTACCATCAGGTGATCCGTTTGCTCGTTTACCGGCTTAACCCATAAAAAGATGACGAAATGAACCTAACTTCGACATAATATCGTATTTTCATGCAGAGAGTAATTCTTCGGCACGATAGACCGACTGAGGTGCTGCGATTCCACAGCCTCATAGAAAATCGACCTGAAACTATCGCATGCGTTTTGATCCTCAATGTCAGTTACCAAATACTTATGGTTGTAGGTAACGAAGTAAAATGTAAAAGTAAAGTAGGCTTCTATATTTCTATGGAAAAAGGAAATACAAAGCAATTCGCCTATGTACCTAGATAATCTAGACTTTAGGTATTATTATTCAGTCCGTGCTCAATGAAATGACAGGCCGGAAACATAACATTTAGTTTTCAACTTAACGACGATGATTTAGTGCAGTTTTGTGTCATACTCGCGTCATTCCAGTCATCATGATTGTTTAGCTCTTCCATATGTTACCTCGATGCATGGGTCTCGAAGTATGTATCTTATTCACTGTAAACTTAGCATAACATAACATTACGCCTTTTTATCCCCGAAAAGTTAGGCAGAGGTGCACATGCCACTGTACAATGTAACACCCACTTTTCACTATATATGTTACTAGCGACCCGCCCCGGCTTCGCACGGGTGCAATATGCATGTATTATACATATAAACCTTCCTTAAGAATCACTCTATCTATTAAAAAAAACCGCATCAAAATCCGTTGCGTAGTTTTAAAGATCTAAGCATACATACGGACATACAGCGAAAGCGACTTTGTTTTATACTATGTATTGATGAGTCCCATGTAATACGGAGTGAGCCTATTGTCATATTCCGGGCACAATTCCAGACTCTGTGCTATTAAAGAGATTTTTTTAAACTCCAGTAATACTTTGCCCGACCCGGGAATCGAACTCCAGATACCTTGCCCGGCAGTCGCACTTGTGACCTCTCAGCCAACGAGGCAGCCTGTAAACTTAGGTTCTTATACCGGAATACTGAAACGTTACTCAATTTTAAGTCGTGCTTAAATATCGTGCCATCTCTGTCATTTTATAAAGAATTTGTGAAGACAGAACTATACTTAAGCGCGACTTAAAATTGAGTAACGTTTGAGTATTCCGACATTATAATATCTGTCTGACTATCCAGTTCACTGCTGAGCTTGAGTTTCCTATAGGAAACAAGGGTTTTTCGTAATCACCAAGTTTGGCTAATAGGTTGGATTTCGCTATTTAAAAGGTTCAAGTTTATCAGGCAGTGACCGTTCCTTTAACTTGACACAACGTAGGTAATTTGTGAAAATCGTTTACTTGTTTTTCCAAATAAAAAGGCATGGTAGGTACCTAAATATATCACAAAGATATTTGTTTTGCGAGAATCGAAATCACGGTACATACATAAAGCAACATCGCATAACCATTTAAACAATAAACCATCAAATTACTATGATTACATGAACGATTTCCTTAAAAAAAATACTATATACCAAATCATATTTTATGTTATGTTTTGGACAGCACAAAACAGTTTGTTGATAACTATTTGTATTCTTGGAATCGAATAATGATTACTAGGAATCGAGTGAGAATCGAGTTTGTGTGTGTAGTGTGGAACGTAGCACGTGGACAGTGCACGTGGGACGTCAGACGTAGGTTAAGGTGACTGCACACGATTTGAGAATTGTGATAACGTGTAGGTTAATTTGCTTGTTCATTCATCATGTAGATAGTATGATACAGCTCTTACCGTCTTTTTTTTTAAAAGAACGTTGCCTTACACTAGAATTTTCTCCTGTATCGTGGTACGCTTACGAACATACAATGATACCCAGACCCGAAACAGCAATCTGTGGATTACACAAAGAGAGACGTTGCGCGGAAGCCAGTTTCCCAGCCACTGCGCCAACCACATCAATCTTTACTAGAGTAATGAACTTAAGTATTGTTATAGCCATTGGCAATTAGACAGTAAAACTTATAACGTGCGTTGACATTTTTTTGTAACCTACTGTTTACGTTCGGTACGGAATAAGCATCGATTTTATTTATTCTCAGTTACAGCACAGGAAATTATCGTCATCACCATCATCGTCAAGACAAGTTAAAATTATTTTCGGAACTCCCAGTGGTTCAGTGCTGGACGTAAGGCTCGTATATCTATATTACTCGTCGAGTATCGTCATTATAGACACAATTATAGAACAATAGGTAGCGGTCACCGGTGACCGCTTGGTGTTTGACAGTTTAAAAAAACCCTAATGCACCGCTACCTCTTACCTTATTCGAATGCATCACAAGTGTGATACATACACCTGTGTCTTCTTACTTTCAGGGGAATAACAATTCAATTCTTTCATTGTATTTCTTTAAATGAATAATTAAACATTATCCCTATAATCCGAGTGTACGTGTGGCTTTAGTCAGCAAGACTCTGATACTCCCTCCCGCCTCACCCAGGCGGGCTAAGCCATTCGATGAATTTCCCCCCTTAAAAAAAATCCCTAAAAATAATTTAATTATGAAACTCCGAACTCAATGTGTAATCTCCACAAAACTGCATGCACGCTGTCTGCAACTGTTCAATCAACACTTCAACAGGTAACAAAAACTAAAAGTAAATCCTGTCGAAACTAGTTTCTGTACCAGTACACAAAATAAATGACAGTTCATCGGCCATTTTGTGGTTGACCGCAAGAACACAGGTATGGTCAAATAGCTACAGAGTGTTATTTTATAAGTAATTTTATTATTTATCACCTTTAGGGACTTTTTTCTCAGTGAAAAGTTGTGAATAATTGTTATTATACATTTAAAAACGTGTCATACATTTGTAAGAATTAGGTTTAAACAGAGTTTCCTTAATATTAATATTTTGTCGTCTCTTTAAGTTTCTTTGCTAGAATGCTGATGTTATAATTTTAATAATGTGTAGCAGAAACGATTGGGTTAACATTTCATAGCCTCACATAACTTTTTATAGATTCAGATGCTGTTAAAGAGAGCAAAAGGTCTATATTCTAAACAATAGTTGAGTTATGCTTAGGCGTCATAAAAAAGAAATTATTGATTATGGGGGCCCTAGTCTTGCCAACGTGGCCGCTAGTCGTGCCAAAGTGGCCGATCCCGTTCAACCCAAATGATTATTTTTCCCGCTCATCGCAGACGCTAGATGTTGTCACGCTAGCGTGGCAAGACGGTAAACCTTCTCCAAGGCAACTTGTAAATATTTTTCCAAGCTAGGTATAATAATACATTTATCAGTGTTTACAAAATAAAACTACAACTTAATTATCGGTGTATATTTTCCTTATAAATATAGCAAGAGCATAAAAATAAAGTTATCTAAAATGGCAAGCAAAGTACAAAACAAATAAATAACAAAAGTAAAATAATTCATTAGTAAATAAAAGGTATAATGCAACATTATTAATCCTTAATAAATAGAGTCAACAGTCTAGATTTCAGGGTATCTAAATACGTGTATTTTGATCAATGAAGGTTAACGTTAAGGACTCAATCAACCGCCAAGTTTGCGGGCGATAACCGCAGGAAGCTGCGGTCTCGTGAGTTTTGGAAATAAATTTCCATTGTACCACCGCGGTAGGCGCGGTACAAAATAGCTTTATAAGTCCCTAGCTTAAAACCCAACATTCCCGGTCTTTAAAGACCTTAAGACGTTCTAGTGCACGTCTTGTTTGCTGGAAGCAGTCATCTAGACGGCCACTGTTCCAAAAAATTATCACACATCGAGATACCCTGAACTGTATTTTATAATGATACCCAGTCATAAATGTCGATAAAACAACGAGTTTAGTAAAAATGAGTATTAAAATTGTGTTTAAATATTGACGGTTAGAATTAAGTATCGATATTGGCTTAACACATAACATAAATAGAATGGTTTTTCGTTATTGAAGGTAACAATTAGCGCTCTACACATTAAACTTGTACATTTTTGTCATTATATTTAATATCACATTATCATCACAAATAACCAGATGAAACCAGAAAAATCTAAAGAAGATTTGAGTACCATTTGGTTATTTTAACTTAATAATATAGATGAAAAGGCGAGTTTGCTCATTTGTTCTTTTTTACGCCTAAAATGCTGAACCAATGTAGAAGAGTCTTTACTGCCACTAAAGGAAGATAGGTTAAAATGATACCATCCAATTGCGAACCTCTTCTTTTTTGTATTCAATTAAAATAAGTATAAGTATATTACAATAGAACACAACAATACCTAAACATCATAGCTTAAAAAATCATCGGTCCAGCCTAAAAAAGTTCACTATATAGAGCGCTTTAAGATATCAGTATACAAATCCACGTCATGTATCTACATTTACTCTTTGGCAGCCGCTACTGGTACAGATAATGCACTGAAGTCAGGCTTTCCAGGAGTATAATGATCCCAAGTAGAGAACTCTTTGGCGAAGGCAGTTCCTGGACATTCAGTCGCGCTGACCTGGTTGTGACCAATGAGTTTATAGTTCGGACTGATCTTGCCCTGTCTCACTCCTTCTGCGATCAGAGCCTTAATCGTTGCCAATGATTCTGCTGGTGGGGCTACCTCTGCAAATAAAATGAAACATTAATTAGTGAACATTATGGTCTATATTTACTAAACACGTTTTGGAATGAAAGATAGAGTTTGATACTAAACGGTAACAAGTTTGTAGATATGCTGTTAAGAATTTAGCATTTAAAAGTTGAGATCCAAAAGTTTAAACCAGTTAATTTTAATATTGACATGATAAACTAAATAAGTATGTAGTTTTCTTGCTACTAAATTACACATTATCAAGAGGAAAAGATTGTCTTTATTACATCCGAGCAAAACAACTGCTCTACTGTGACTGTGATTAAAGACATCCTGGATACAATTTCCGAATCATGTAATGAATTTTAATTCTATTAAACCACTTATTTCCTGCTTAATCACCAACAGGTATTTATTCTTCATTTTTAATAGAACAAAAATGCCACATCATTTTTAAAACAAATCCACAGAGATGACCACGGAAACACCGAGAGGAACATGAACAACTGTCTTGGTTCCCCGCCTTAGGGCTTGGATCTCGCATCAAAATAAACAGAAGATCTCCACAGGAGGACAAGCCAATGATATTACCAAAAGGTAAAATTAATACGGAGTTGATTCTAGAAGTAACTAAGAAGACTAGTTTTATTTAAGGTTCACGTATGTACTATATGATCCTCGCTTCTGTAAGCCAGGATCAACTCCTGTGAGCTGCAGCAGTTTTGGGAGATAGTGGCGGACTTGTCTAAATAAAACAAAATTTTTAAAAAAGGTTAACGTATTTAATAATAAAATATACATACCTCTCCAGTCTCCAATAACACAGATGCCGATGCTGTGTCGGTTGGCGACGGAGGCGTGGATGCCCATGTTGTCAAAGCCCCGACCTTCGTACGCATTTCCTTCACTGCCGATACAGAAACTGTGGACAAACAGAATACTGTTACTGTTTTTGTATATAAGATAAAAACTTTGGAAAAGAGGATAATATGTTATAAGATATTTATTTATTTAAGTTTTACACCGCTGCATGAGACTTAATACTAGAATTAAAGGGTTAACGTTACTGATATTTGTATGTGATAAATCGGCAAACTAGCAGTTGTATTACCTGATGGTAACTAATTTTTAATTTAACACTACTTAAGGTGTGTTATCTCCGCCACGATTTAGATTTGTTCCATGTTTAAATGTTGCATTCATGACCACAGACACTAAAAAACTCAGTATAATGACAGCTCAAGTTGATAACCTCTTTGGTAATTCAAAATTCAAATTCTAAAAAAACCAGCCAGGAAGATAATTAACATAAGATTAAAATGCAAAGGTCATGACCGAGTCGGTAAAAAGGTGACAGATTATTATTGTCATAAGCTTAAAACTTTTTGTTCTATATTTCATAAACATTTTTTTATATTTCGAATGCATTATTGTTTACAGTCTTAAGGGTTTTCAGAATAGGGTAGACGACTAATTTTTATTTTAATGTCCGTCTGGTAGATTTTTTAAAAACATTAGACACGTATTTTTTATTTTCTTACGGAGACGAATAGTTTCGAAAATATATTGATTTGAAATGTCGCGTGACGTCACTTCTCAGTACATTTTATACTAAGAAATGACGTTTTAGCCCCCACTCCTAAGCTTTGATACGTTTTATCTAAGTATTGTTTTATTATACGACAAAATAAAAAAATATGTGTCTAATATTTTTTAATTACCTAATTTACGGACTAATTATATTTTTAATTTTCATACCCTGTCATCATCCCCATTGCAGTGAAATGGTATCAAAAAGATCATAATGTCTATGTCTAAGAGAAATAATTAATTGGCTTTGGCCTCTAGTCTCTAAAGTAAGTCTTCTCGAATAACAAAATACTTCTGATTCTAGCACGATCTTCCTGCACATTCAAAGACCAGATTGTGGATAACTTGATGTGCAGTCTACCGACACATTCGGTTTTTAAATAAATAACTACAGCTACCAACCTAAATAATCACACTTAATATCAATGCTAAAAATAGCATGGCTAATTTAGGCATAGCAATTCAACCAATGCTTTTTATGTCGGAACCGCGGAACCGGATTTAACATAATATATGTAATGGTACGTTTTATGTGAAACTGGTAATCGGCGACATAAATATTTGCAATATCGCCGGTCGGTGATTCCCCTCCGACCTACCTTTGGTTGGCGTTTCAATAGTATAGTCCATAATTTGTTTTAATTAATTCATTAATACATACATACATACATTAACTTCACGCCTGTCTCTCATGGGGGTAGGCCGAGACTATGGAACGCCAATTATTACGATTTATACATAATTCTTTCGCTTCATCAACAGTCATAATTTTTTTCATGCATGCTCGTCGGTTATGGGTACTTTTAATTTGGCCCTCCTTTAATAACGTCACCCAAGCTTTTTAATTTATATATGGATGACCTCATAGTCTCACTCAGCAGAGCCCGTGCTGGATGTAGCGTTGGTGGGGTGAGTTTTAATAATATAAGTTATGCAGACGACATGGTTCTTTTGGGTCCATCGGCGGGAGCAATCACTCAGTTGCTTCAGATATGTGAGGAGTACGCTGCCGCACACGGCCTAAGTTACAATGTTAAGAAATGTGAGTACATGGTTTTTGGGGTTGGCGGCAAGTGTCGTGACATGGAGTTTGAAATAGCGCTGAATAAAATCCCAATAAAGCGAGTTAGCAGCTTTAAATATCTGGGACATTTTCTTGCTGACAACCTTAAAGATGACATGGATATTGAGAGGGAACGTAGGTCTCTGGCGGTAAGGTGTAATATGCTGGCACGTAGATTTTACCGCTGTACCGAACAAGTTAAAATTACACTATTTAAGGCGTATTGCCAAAATATGTACACGGGTGGTCTATGGGTCAACCATACCAAAAAATCGCTAGATGTCCTGCGCGTCCAGTACAATAACGCTTTCAGGATGTTGTTGAGATTGCCCCCCTATTGCAGTGCTTCGGAGATGTTCGCGAAAGCTCGTACTGACGGATTTCACGCAATACTGCGGAAAAAAACAGCGTCACTATTAAGAAGGTTGAGAGATAGTCAAAACAGCATCCTGAGAACCGTAGCTGAGAGTATACACTCTCCAATAATTAAAAGATGTGTACAAAGGGTGATTGGTACTAACAATAGTTTGTAAGTTTTCTATGTAATACTAACATTCGATGGACTTTGTCTGAAATAAATGCCTTATTATTATTATTATTATTA